AAAAAAAAAAAAAAAAAAAAAAAAAAAAAAAAAAAAAAAAAAAAAAAAAAAAAAAAAACCTTAATTATTGTGTGTTTGGTTGAACTAATCCATCTGATTTGCGACCATGACTTAGTTCTTAAGTAATCACTTCATTCATCCCTTAATCCACAAAATTACATGATTAATTAAAATAAATATTTTTTTTTAAATTATGAAGAAATAATAATATAAAAGTTATAAATAAATTGATGTGATTGAGAAGAGCCCGCGTGGTTGCTTCTGCTTGCTCTTATAATTACCCTCTCGCGGTCCCCCCTCTACCACCGCTTCGGAAGCTCTAACCAAATCTCATTTTCACCTCTCTACGACTGTTTTTTTGGTTGATTTGATTTGCAGATTGTTTAATCTCGGATCGTTTGTGTGCTTGTTCTCGTATATTTCTGTGATTGATTTCTTAAGATGGATGCGATTGTCTCTAAAATGGGAGAGCCGAGGAATTCCGATTCCATGGAGAAGCGACCGTGTAAACGCCGAAAAATCGAATCGGAGAATCGAATGCCGGATATTCATGGCGCCGAATCCACGGATTTGATAACACGGTGGAGAACAGAGTTGGAGCAGTATATTTACTCTTCAAAACTAGTTCAGGCTCTCCATCGAATCAGCCAGAAATCCGCATTACCGCTGGCGAGATCTTCGATTAACGGCCGGAAAGTACGCGATACGGCGGATCGAGTTCTCGCCGTTGCCGCTAAAGGCAAGACGCGGTGGAGCAGAGCGATCTTGTCAAATCGACTGGATCTCAAACTCAAGAAGCAAAAGAAGGTGAAACCGGCCGGAAACTGCAGGTGGACGAAGAAATTGGAAGTACCGAAGACGAGGAAATTGCCGGCGGTACAGCGAAAAGTTCGAACTCTCGGCCGCCTGGTTCCCGGCTGCCGGAAAATCTCATTCCCGAACCTCCTTGAAGAAGCTACAGATTACATCGCCGCTCTACAGATGCAGGTCCGCGCCATGACAGCCGTTGCCGAGATTCTCGCCGGTGCTCCGGCCGATCGTCAAAACTTCAGAACGAACTCGTAGAAGCCAGGTCCAAGGCTTGGAATGCCAGGTGTTTTTTTTTTTGTTATGAAATATTTTATTGTACACATTTTAATCTCTTCGTTTTTTTGTTTTGAATTTGTTGATTGAGAAGGGGTACCTAATGCTGATTCTCTTAATATAATTAGAGAAGAAAAATGAGCAGCATGAAATTAGTGAATTAGAGTTTATTTTATTTCTTTTCTGTTCCTATTCAACATTGTTCATACTTCATAGTGAAATATTGAAACAACAATTTGAAAGTGTTTTTAGATTATGTTAAGATTTAATCGTGATAAGATCAAGATGAAGCATGAAAAAGAGAGATAAAATGGAGGAGATGATATTAAAAGTTAGATGAGAAAGGGACGGGTGAAAATCATTTATGGATAAGCTCTTTTTTTTTTTTTAATTAAATTCTCACACACGTGCGCATCGTACCATCATTATCATCTTCTCATTCTCTGTTTCCTAAACCCTAAACCCTAAATATACTTTCCTTTCCTTTTTCACTTCCAACTTTTATGTTATTAGCACTTTCAACCTTTATGTTATAGCTTTGGTAGTCTTCAAATTTTATTCTTTTAATAACTTAATTTAATCTCTGCCCCTTTTTAGAATCGTAAACGAAAATAAATTGAGGGTCGTTACTTTAGGTGAGAATCAACGTGGAGCACTGTCGTAGTGTGTCTCAAAACATCATCTTCAATCACAAATTAGCCTATATATGCCCTCGAATCTAGCCTTCGATTCTAGATTTTTAGGGGTAGTTTTGGTTATTGGGTTCATTAGAAACTTCTTTAAAGGTAATTGACATTGACATGTGTAGTTTTAGTATCTAATTAACTCCTTAGATGATTATTAGAGCCACATTTGGCATTCAGGCATCCATTTCAAAAGAAGCCGGTCTAAAACTAAATATAGGGAAGACATGTCTCATTTGCAAAATGAAAGACCTGTTGATATGCTTTTCAATCCATTATCGAATAGTACCTTTTGATGAGAGATATGAATCAGAGACTTTATCAAATAATACCTTTTGATGAGAGATATGAACCAATAAAGAGTTTTGCTTATTAAATATTAGGAAGTAAGGACAATAGAGCACACATATTATATCGGCAGTAAAATGAAGAATCATTCAATTCAATTCAAACTGAGGTCCAAGGATCAGCCAAATCATTCAATTCACCTCATGAACCCATTGTTAAAACCATCAGGCCTTCACCAAATCAGCTCGGGGCCTCCATAGTCCAAGCCTGTACTTATGTGTGTACTTCAATATCAGCTTCCTCTGCCACATACCACAAGAATGGAAGCATTTTGATAATTGCATACAAAGCCTATGGCTATCATTTGAGCTGTTTTGGCGGTGAAACATGTCTATGTCTTGCTAATCCATATCATTCAAATAATATGAATACTGTTGAGTTGAGGAAATACTTACATGTTTGCATGGAATTCCAAGTTTTTTGAGCTCAAGTGTGCGAGTATCAAGCAGCTTCGGGAAGTCACCAATCTCTGATTCAAGTTTAGGCACATGTGACTCAACCCCATACCCAACACCATTTAAAAACTCTGGTATTCCGACCTTTACTACAACACAAATGACAACAAATCAAGCACATGTACATCTCTTATCTTATTGATCACACACTTACAAGGAAATAATAATAGCAAACCAATGATGGATGACATACGAAGATATCAAAACTATGAACACTTCCTTTACTACACAATCATGCTCTGCCTCTTTGGGTAATAAATTCATTCAGTAAAGAGTTGACAAATGAAGTATAAGGCTCAATTCCTGGGTCAGATGAGAATAAGTTTTTAAAGAAAATAAGAGTGAAAAAACACTTGCCGACATATGGGGTAGATTTAGAAAAGAATCTAGCAAATAAAGGAGCTGAGTATGGTTGCAGTATAATCTGCCTCCATGCCATTCTTCTTGCTGTGGAACAACAAACCCATCAGTTTCAAATCAGATGCAATTCCTCTAGGGAGGAAGGTCTTAAGTTTTTAAGTTTAAGTCTTGCACGTTTAGTTATGAACTAATTCAGATTGTGAAACTGCAAATGGCTCATTAAATCTGTAACGAGCTAGCAGGTATTATACTCTTTGGGCTTTCCCTCAAGGCTTTAAAACGCGTCTGCTAGGTGAGGTTTCCACACCCTTATAAAGGGTGTTTTGTTCTTCTCCCCTACCAATATGGGACATCACAAAATCAACTATATGGTATTTGCTACTCGGATAACCATAGTAATTCTAGAGCTAATACGTGAAAGAAACTCCCAACTTTTGGAAGGGATACTTTTATTAGATAAAAGGTCGACGCGGGCTCTGGCTGTTGCTCTGATGATTCATGATGTATGATGTCATAAGAAGAATTACCAAAAAAGAATGTAGACAGAGAGTACCATCAAAAAGCTTTACATTTCATGACCTTAAAATGATCCGACCAAGCTGAAGATTTGACTTCAAAGATCCTTTGATATCTTCTTTCCATACAAATATTCGATAGAATGGCCATGGAAGCATTGAATTGATCCATTGCATTCATGGAAATAACAAGATCACCCAAGGACTTCTAAAACTTCCAATATTTTGAATGGAAATCTAGTTCTAACTGATAAGGATTCCAATTAATTCTATACTTCAAAAAAATAAAAACTCCACCAAATCTCTTTTAATAAAACAAAATACTCTTCCTAACCTGCCAACACCTAACTCACTTTAATTCAAACTAATACCACAGAACGCAGAACTGTTCAAGCCCTACAGAATATCAGAAGTTCTCCCTAAAGCCAATCTTTCATTTTCTGTTTGGGCTCCTAGATTTGAGAGGAACGAGAAATCATCTACCTCCAGTATGATTTAAAAATTGTTTCGAACCAAAAATAAAAAAATAAAAATCAGTCCAGGATATGAACAGGTCAAATTTTGGAGGATTACGAACTCACAATCGAAGTCTTTACAAATGTAGGCTATTTGGAAGTCGATTGAATCAGTAAAAAGAGAAAAAAGATTTTTTAACCCAAATGTCTTTATAATATCAGTATATTAAATCAAGAAGAGAATGGTATGAATCGAAAAAATGATTAAGAAGAGAATGAAATGAATAGAAAAAATGCTAAGAATTATGAAGAAGAGAATGAAACTTGCCACTTGTGTGTGTACAGACCTCGGTGGTTCTTTTCGAGGCAAAAACTTGGAGGTTCCGACGTTGGTTCTTCTCCATTCATGCTCGCCGGCGAAAGTTACGTATCTTTCTTTTCCTCTCTCTCTCTCTCGTTCTCTCACTGTGCAGGTGTTTTGAGTCGTGGCTGAAGACTGAGATGGGGAGTGGAGATCCGGGGCATCGGCGAGGCGCGTCGTGAGGTGTTAGAACGAAAAACTCTAGCGCTCGCCGGAGTTTTTCAGGTCTCGCCGAAGACCTCAGTAATTTCTGATCTTTTTTCATGCGTTACACTTTCTTTTTTAAATCTTGCTTTAAGTTTGAAGTTAAACTAATTACTTTTGATTAGTCTTAGAGTGAGTCATCTTTTGATTTAAGAGTGAACATCATAAATTCAAAGTTCTATCTAAGAGTTATTCATCCTTCTAACTATTCATCTGTCTAATTACTCTTGGTTGGAATTATTTGTTAAAAGTTAGTTTTATTTGTGAAAGTTTGCAATGATCCTAAAGGACCTCTAGCTTTGCAAATCTAGATTTGTTGGTGCTTATCATTCTTGACGAACCTCTACTTCAAACCGAAACTACTAACTGAACCTCAGCTTAGGAACCAAAACTCGACAAGCAGGACCAAACGAACATAACTCAAAAAATTTACTAACTTCAGCTTATGCCAACAAAGTGGGTGGATTTATTATTAAAATGCTTTTGATCTTGACTGAATGACTCAAGTATGAATGACACTTATCCTATGGCCTATGGCATATCGATACAATTGATCTATCGCTAAACTTCAGGTTTCCAATGAGCTTCTCATCAAGCTTCTTAAACTTTGTTCGATCTTCGATCATGTGTTGCTTGCTCCATTGTCTAGGTTCCAATGCTAGTATCCACTCAGTCTTCTCCTTTTGTGAGAAGGTTCACCATAATCATCTCTTCCTTGAGCATCAACAAATTGGCCATCTTCTCGACCAACATCAATGTAGAATCTTGATCATGTGTGAATATGAGGTTTGTCTCCTCATTCGCTTCTTCTTGTGGCACTATGCTGCATAATGCTTGTATTTTCCACAAGAGTAATACTTAATCATACTCTTGTCCGTCCAAGGTTGACATTGTCATGAATTTGTGAGGTATTGTTACGACCTCATTTGCCACCACGTCTGCGACCACGACCTCTACTTTCCTTGTTGTGGCAGTCATGTCTATTCGTACCTGAAAAAGGAAGAATCAGTCGCATCTTCCCTTTTTGTCTGTGCGAGCCACTCCTTATGTGTCAGTAAGAGATGTTTCTCCTCCTCTCTATCGTCATAGCCATGAAGTCTCTCCTATAGACCTTGAGACGACTAACGACCTCCTTAACTGACATGTTACTAAGGTCGACGAACTGCCCAATGGAAGTAACATATGCATGAATCTCAAGAAGGACAACTCGAAGAAACTTCATGATGATGAACATCTCCTCCACTATAACAACCCTAAATTTTCACATATCTAGAGTCGCCACTAACGTCTCATGCTCATTTCTAATGCAGAATATAACTCTAAGAATGCTCATCTTTACTAGCAGACAAATTTAAAACTTCAAAATACGTTAAAACATTAGAAAACACTGTCGAACTTACGTGTTTCAAACATCATGCTAGAGTTCAAAATAAGATAAAACAATTACAAATTAAATAATTTAAATAAATGAAATGCAAACACCCTATCCTAACCAAGACTAGGAATTTTAAATATGCAATTATCCTATGCACGCGCCACAGTCTCTGATCACGATGCCGCCGTCAACTGTACATGGGCACCTTGCCTTTACTGAAAAAACAATATGGCACACGGCCTGAAATACTCAGTAACTGACCCTACTATAGGGGTCATGTTAATGCAAACACATGCCGTCATAAATTAGGGACCTATCTCTAATCATCCTAAGGGTGGCCTCTAGTCTTGGACATATTGACTGTGTAGTACTTCCCTACACACGACTCACACGTGTGAGTGTGAATCTCCAGGGCGCTCGCACACCTCCTGGACCCTCTGGTCAAGCTAATCTGTAGTGACGTCCGGAGGTCAGCGGAACCCCATAGTGTCATGCGCCTCATGAACACTCTCATTTGTGTGCATTTGCGCTCATCATACCGTGCGCGTCTGCACTCATCATCTCTAGGCGAAGTAGCCCTATGCTTATGAACATACAATATGCGTGAAGTCTCTCTAAGTCCAATTATACATCTCTTCTGACACAACCCTCTAGTCTCATCTTTTGGTTACACTATGTAACACGTGCTCGTGGATATTTACATTAATATCATTTTCATACTCTTAGGGTTGTGTCCTATGTCGATCTAACGACATGATGCAATATGGCAAACAACATCATAAGACACGTTCAACATGGAAAACATCATCATGTTAATAACATCGTCATGCATACATCATACTCATCATAGAAGCCATTAAGTACATCAGATATAACATGTACGTCATGCATCGAAACATAAATAAAGTACATTTAACATACATCACAACACAACGTCATACTTATACATCATCATAATTCAAACAATCTTTAGTCTATCGTATAGTAAGGCCACTTACTTGGTTGGCTTTAGCTGGAGTACTCCCTAATTTAATTAACGCAAGTTCCCACTCCTCGAGAACTATTCTAAATGTTGTCGGAGTTCACTTCCTATTACACCGTTCGTCATCTTTTGTTAGTATTTCACATTTTAATTAATAATCCAACTAACAATATAAAATACGACTCTAAAACAAAACTTCAGTAAAAATCGAATTCCATATTTTCATGGTTTCTAAATTGTATTGGATAATAAACTTCGAGCTATTTGGATCATTCAATTTAAATATGGTTCGTAATAATATTATATTTAATGGGTACAAATTATAATAATATTTTATATTTTCCATTTTCCTATCTCCTCATCATTTTTTTAATTTCCTATACCGTAATTGTCATTTTCAATCCATTCTAATTTTCTTTTCTTTCATTTTTTTTTCTTTTAATTTTAATTCTTCTTTAATTCCGCCAAATTTTAATCGCTCTCTTTTCTCGTGGATTAGGATATCATAATTTCTAACTCATATCTAAATAATTGCAACAAATTTCTTCTATAAAACAAAGTAAATCTAACTACAAACTTTTTCAAATGACATCTTTCTTCCATTATCCGCCTAATCATCTCTCTTCCATAGACCTTCCCTATAAAATCTTTTCTTTCTTTTTCTTTTCTCTCATGAGGGAGATAATTTAGGGTAGGGTGTGGTCAGTTTTTTTTTTCTTCTTTATTTTATTATTTTTATTTTACTATTATTATATATATAACCTAGTCGCCTAATGAATGAATGTTGTGATGATTGTTGTCAACTTCATGACAAATTGGTTTATTGACTCACCGTCCTTCGTGTGGATAGCTTCGAACTCACTTTTCAAGATCTGCACTCTTACTTCCTTGGTACATTCAATACCCACATGCATTGTTTGTAGCATCTTCCATGCTACCTTTGCTCAGTCCTTCTCTACGAACATGAGAATGACATCTTCTAAGACTTATTAGTAGATGGCAGCAAGAGTCAATTAAGACACATATTTAGCGACTATGTTGCCTAATAACTCTTCATGAATAGCGAGTGCTAGAGTGTTACACTCCCCTTCTTTCAACAACTTTATGTAGTGACAACACTTGTTTCGACATTGTAACTCTTATACCAAATGTTCAAGGTGTCCCAATATCATAATATGCCAAAACAAACAAAATTAATCACAAAAAACAACTTGAAGAGAGAGTTTCTTGGAACAAAAAATTTCAGTACTTTTAATAGGGAAAGAACTAACAAGTTTACTAAACTTTCTTGCGAGTCAAATGCAACACCACCACCAATGTTTCTCTAATACACTTCTTGATACCAATGTTTCTCTAATACACTTCTTGATAGATTATGTTATCACTCTAAACAACCAAAAATCAAATTAACCATAGCCCACATAGATCGAATCTCCAAATTAAAACACATTTGAACATGATTCAAACCATCGAGATTTAAGGGCGTCTTGGGAAAATAATCATTTGATTTTAAGTAGTTTTATTTTTTCAAGTTTGTTATGAATGAAATTAGAATGTTGTATTTATGGAAGTATAAAGGTTAATGCGAGTAATCTATGATTGAAAGCTTGAAAACAATACCTGTGGTTCTTCAAGATCAACATATATTTACAGACATGAACTAAAGAACAGAAGGATACTACAACTACACAAAATATGATCTTGAATTTCCTAATAATAATCTCCCTTCTTGATTTTCCTGGAGCTATCCTTTTGGAAACAAACCCAATTCCTACTATTTTGGGTTTCTTCCATCTCATTAATTTAGAGATTCAACCAAAAGAAAGTGACGAACTAGCACAGGAAATGAGGTGCTGCTGTTGTTGGTGTAATTAGTATTTGTTAGAACTCTCTACTTTCTATACCTTCTTCCTCCTCTTCCTCAGGCAAACACAGAACCACAAGACAGCGCCATTAACAGCACCGCCGCCTGCTCCTCCTCCCCAAGCTTCCCCTGTTTCTGAACCGATGACACATTCTGCACCACCACCACCTCCTCCCTGAATGGCATCATCACCCTCATCCTCAATGACCTACATTCCCCCAAATCCTCCTCCCCATCTCCACTACCGCCACCGCTGGTGGTGGTATTGATGGCCGTTGTGCCACTGGAAGAAGAAGAAGAAGTGGTGGAGCTATGAGGTCTCTCCCTCTTCCTCACATATCCTCTGTTTGTGGATATTCTTCTCTTTCTAAACCTGATCCCACATGCATTACACAGTGACTGCAAAAATCCCATATAGGGGAACAGCGGTTTTTCTTTTAGAGTTTTTCATTCTTTAGAAGCTAAATACGAGGGATAAGTAGAAAAAAACTAGAGAGAACTATTGAATGTATTGATGAGAAAATAGATGAACATTAAGAACAGTTGTGGAGATGGGTAGGTAGGTTTGATAGATAGTGGAGAAACCCAATACAAATAGAACCAAAAACGAACATGAATCCATATCAGAAGCTAAAAATGGAACAAACAAAATGCTGGAAGAAGAACAGGTACAAGAACAGAGTAGAAACCCAGTTTCAAGAATGAAGAAGAACATAACCAGAAACAGAGCAGAAAGCTAAAACGATAATGGATACGAAAAAAAACCCAGAAGAAATGAATAATCAGAAAGAAACCATGAATCCGACATACTAAGAAGAAGCTGAAGGAAGCAGAAGATTAAAAGAGAGGGAAAAAGAAGAAAAAGGCGATAAGAGAAACCTTAGGACCAGCAGGGCCTCCACGCCACAAAGGAGTCTTGGTAGTATTGCAATCAACACAGCATTTCTTGGTCTGGTCCTGGAGTTGGGTCCTCGGCGACAGCCCCTGAAGAACAGAAGTGGAATTAATGTAATGATTGCTCCCTCAGTTGTGGAAAAGAAAGAAGAGGGGATTAGATTAGTATGAAGCGCTGTGAAACCGACCTTTTGTGTGACGTCCATCATACCCATTTGGAGGTATTGTGAAGAAAAGTGAAGATGATCATTAGTGAGTGGAAAAAGAGAAGAGGGAGAGGGAGAGGAACCGACAGGGGAAGAGAGGGAGAGAGAAGGGATAAGAAAAGGGAGGAAAAACCCTAGACGGCATTGCCAAAACCCTAAACTCAGAAATAAACGCCCAAACAAATGGGGTATATTATTTTGTGTTTTTCTTTTCGACCGTGAGATGATACACATAATACTGGTATTTCATCCATTCATGCTTATCATATATGACCTTGTGAAATCTCACAAAACATGATGCGATGGTAATACATGCCAAACATGCCATGGAAAATATATGCCTCACAACCATTTAAATCGCTACCCCAGTATAGTCAAGCCCAATAATTATATTACTCTATTTATATTTATGATTTAAGTATTTTAGAATAAAGAACGAGATATTTTAGAGAAGAAATCTGTATATTTTAAAAAAAAGATTTAAATTTGTTATACATTGATTGCATCTAGAGCTTGCTCATTTAGTAATAATACCCTAAACCCTAAACCCTATCTAGTATAAATACCCCTCTACTTTCCTAGGTTATCGTTCCCCTCAACCTATCTAGGCTACCCAACCTAGATTATCATCCCAAGAGATACCTCTATGTCTTGTAATCTCTTATCAATTGCTGTTAATAAAGAGTGTTGTGTTCAACAATTATAAATATGCTGCAAGTTTCACGTTATTCTTTGATCTAACATAGTGGAAAAAATGCGAATGAAAGATGTAAAATTCAACATCCATTGAAGAGGAGAACGAAACCCTCTTTAAAAGGGCATGAAAACTTTTTAAAAAACTAGTGCACTTAGATTGGGTTTCCGCCTGGATTGAGAAAATCAGTTGATGAGATTGTTGCATAATTAGTGTATAAGAAGCTAGCTTTTAGGTGACTATGTTAGATGAGAAGTGCATGGACAAATAGAAATAAAGGGAACTCATCTTGTAAGATAATCTTTTATACTAAAGATAAACAACAGCTCAATCAATCAAACAAATTTAAGAGAACAATACAATTTCATCCATTCATAAGGACCAAACCAAACTGTGGATCGAACATCAAAAAGAGCCACAGCCACATTTCATAAGAACCTATTCATCATCATCATCATCATCATTATCATCTTCTTCCCTTTTCAACTTTTTCTTCTTTTTCTTCTTACCATCTTCTACATGATCCACCACCACCACCTTTTCCTCCTTGCTCTTCTTTTTCTTCTTCTTCTTCCCTGCTTCTTCCTCTCCCTTTACTCCATTTATGTCTTCTGAACCCTCCTCCTCTGTTTTCCTATCCAACTTTCGCTTCTCCTTCTTTTCCGATTTCACATCCACCCCGACATCACCGTTTTCACCCGCTACCTCACCGTTCGCATTGCCTTTCGATTTCTTTTTCTTGTTCTTTTTCCCTGAGCCTTCACTTGGCACTTCTTCTATATCCATATCAGTTGCTGCCACAATATTTTTCATCAGTGTCAAGTGCTCAAAACACCAACCATACCCAAAACAAACAAACATAGGTAATAGGTAGGTATATATCATGGAAGATAAATTTTCCCCTTCCATCAACTGTTAGTCACATCGTTATCACATTAAAAATAAAGAAGGATCCATTTTAAAAACATGTGGAATTCACCAATGTTAATGAATTATTATAAAAGAAACGGTCATAGTGTGAACAAGGTAGTACTCCTACTCCTCCACAACTCCAGCATCTTCCAGAAATAAAAGTGATAGAAGGAAACATTTAAGCATGAAAAACTATGGTTGCAGAGCCACACTATCTCAAACAAATATTGACCATTCTTAAGGTGAACAGTCACAATCATAGCATTATTTATACCTTTGTTATCTGCACTTTCAATTGCATCCTTCATAACATCTATGTTTTTACGAGGTGCGATTCCCTTGTCATAAAAGTCCAGGCGCTCTTCAACTTGCTCACGAAGTTTTTCCCCAAAGGTTGTGGTACTCTTCTCTAAATGGCAATACAAAATTATAAATCAGACCCAGCAACTGGTGGCCATAACTTACTATAGAAAATAGTCCATTGTATTATGCAGGAAACTACACAAAAACTACACAATAATTACCTGCAAAGCAATCAATCCGCGATGCAATTGAACATTTGTTAGCAAGATAACGAGCCATTCGGCCTTTGTTCCGTGCAGACGCTCGCCCAATGAAAGAAGAATGGAAGATCAGTCCATATTTAGGGGTGTTTCCCTTTGTTTTCAAAGCCCTGAATAGAAAAAAATGAATTTATTGGACCAGCATTTTATTAAACAAATCTCAACTAGTAATAATACTTTACTTTCATGGCATGAATATACTTAAAAAATTAAGTGGCTACATTTCTACGGTTTTACGAATAATATTTCAAAATTAGAACCCATGGCATTATGGTCTTAAAGAGGAAATGATGCTTACTAATTCAAAACAGAGGAAGACACAAACCTGAAGAGTGCTTTCTCTGCACCAAGAATCTGAAGGGTGGAAGAAGGGCACTTGGCCAAATTCGTGAGACTACCGGCATGAGAAATCAAACGGGCCCCAACAACTTCACCAATCAAAGAGGCCAAATTGGGAGCAATATCATTCATTTTGGAAACTAGGTAATCAAAAAGCTTCTTCCTGTATTCAGATAGATCCATCACCCTCTGTGCAAATTGCTGAACATTGATCAAGTCAATTGGAGACAAATCTTGGCCTGCAGTATAGACGAGTACCAAATCAGGTATCGGAAAAATAACAAAAATCATAGGAAAATGAAATTAGCCAGAGATATACCCATGGAGGCTTTGGCTGCTTCAACAATCTCCTTTGCTTTATCTTCATCACCAATAATGTCAATCAAACCAGGGATTTTATCTTCTGCCAACTTCGATTTGTCCTCGATAAATTTAGAAACTTTGGCATAAAGATAATTGTCACTCACAATCTTCACCAACTCAGGGAAATGCCATGAATACCACTCTCTGCAGCATAAAAGTAAACATGAAGTAATTGATGACAAAGACTCGTGATTTCCCGGAGAAACAAAGATTGTTAAAATAGCATCCGAAATCACCATCTTGAAAGAGAGAAACAAAAGTAAGCTTTTCTCCAGATTTTAAAGCTTCCTCAAAAACTGATGCTGCTAGTTTAATAAAATACCTGACTCTCATGGAGAAGGAATTAATGTCCTTGTCTAGAGTGTCAAGAAGGAAGATTGCTTGAATCACCATGTTATCAACACGGTTAACATTGAACTTGACCTTTGCTCGACTGTAACTGTGTCCGAGACCAAGCTGGGCCTTCTCCAAATCTGATGACTGTAGATACAAATAAACGGTTAGAGGAAAAGAAGTAATTTGACTGTAGATACAAATCAATACTGCAAGAAATCAAAGTGAAATAGTAGGAGCAGCCGAGCAGGCAAACCTTGAGGTCCTTTATGAATTTGTCGAAGTGTAGACGCACACCCCGAAGCAGCTCCAAAACAAACTCATTACTTTGACATGGGATTTTAGTTTCTTCAAATATGTTCGACCCAATTTTGGGTTCAGCTAGTCCCAAAACGAACTTGGCCTTCTTAGCTTCCTTGACTTTCGGAAGATTAATTTCCAGAAAACTCCTCAACTCATCAGTCATAAGCCCTGCCATTTACCAATACATTATTTGCAACAGAAACTGAAAAGATTCAACGTGGTATACAAAACAATTGATTCGAGGAAACGATTAAAACCGGAAGTCAAACGACTGCATGGTAGATTGAGTCGTTGAGGGAGTTAGTTACCTTCGGAGACCGAGTTGCATTGCTTAAGCGCATCGAGAGCGGACTCAAAGGGGTGGAATGCGGCAAGTTTGACGACCTTGCCGAAGCGGTTGAGGTCGGAGACGGAGCTCCGAACAGCTTCAGTGTTCTGGCCAATTTCGTCGAGGCCATGGGCATGAAAGAGAGCATAACCAGAAGCAGATTCATATAGAAGATACGTTAACGCCATGGGAAGAAAACCAGAGGGACACTAAAGAAGTTGTCTGAAGGCGTCAGCTGCCGGAGTTGAGATGAGATGAGAGAAAGCGAAGGTGTAGGGTTTAGGGTTTAGGGTTTGTGAGATGGGGATGAAAGCTTTTTACTGAATTCTAACCAGAGTTCATTTTGTTGGGCTGGGCTTCGAGGCCCAAGACCAAATGGGCCTGAAAATGGGCCTGCAAATGGGCCTGAATGTTTTCATGTCTAGATCTATAATACTCCGTCTACGCATGTGCACATAAATCCATTAGACAACTGAACGAACACAAAAAAAAAAATAGAATATGAAATAATATATCATAGGTATGTGTTCGTATACATGAGTGGATAAGTAAATCTATAAACTTATGAACACAACATATGCATGAAGTCTCGTGTATAAAATCATAGTTTAGTGAGATTTCTGTGCATAATTTGACTTAAATTCGAACCTGCATTTTCATGGTATTTCAAGCATGTTTTATAATATGATTAAGCATATGTTGTGTTAGTCGTGCATCAATAAACTTCATCTAACCTATATCGTAAGCATTTCAATAATATGTTCGTTTACAACTCAAGCTCGACTTTAGGCTTGGGTCACGTCGGGTGCTTCACCTTGATATTGGCTGCTCTGATAACGTGTATGTGCGAATTGAGTCTTGGAGTTCAAGGCGTGCATGTGGGCTGACATGTGTGTTGAGGCTTGGGCCTCAGCTCACACGAGGTGGGTTTGGGATTTGGATGGAATGTGAGTTGATTCGCCCCAAAACCATCACTTATGTTGTGACCTTCATATAGTGACAAGCAAAAAGACACCGTGACATCCATTTGGTCACATGAGTGTCAAGGTAGAAGAGTGTCATGATATGACCGAGAAGAATGGTGCATCATCTAACACACCAAATAGATGTGCATTGAAGTCGAGTGAAACATAAGCAACATCGAGGCAATGATATCAACATGAGGGACAAAAATACACTTGATAAAGGGTCGGGTAAGGTCCCAGCCTTACCCTTGAAATTTGAAGTTTAGAAAGGAGTTTGGACATGCAACTCTAGAGTTAAGTCCGTCTAGATAAAAGATGGAAGCTCACCAAAATAGGTGTCAATCAGACACTGGATGGAGGCTCCACCACAATGTATGACCATTCGCTAAAATGATGTCTACACCTGCCAAATTGGAAATGCCTCATAATATACCTTAGAGAGTGGCATGACGATAAATGTGTCACAATCCCATGGTGTCACATACCTCTCCCCAGGATTGTGAGCGACGATCAAATATATAGACTTGTGTGTACCCAAAGAGTGGATTATTCGAGGAGTAGGTCCTAGACATCCTAGAAACAAGAGACAAGTTTTAAACCACCTAGAGGCCTAAGAACCTAGTAGACTCTACGTCATACAAGAAAGACAAAGGTAGCCTATTTGTTGCTAAGAGTATGTATGGACAGAGCCATTAGGGTTTCCACTACCCTATCCACTCTAGTACCAGTACTGTAATGCCCCAAGCCCATCGTTAACAGATATTATTCGCTTCTGCCCATTAGTCTCATGATTTTAAAACACGTCTCCGAGGGAGAGGTTTCCACATTCTTATAAAGAATATTTTGTTCCCCTCTCCGACTAATGTGGGGTCTCACAATTCACCTCCCTTTGAGGCTCAGCATCTTGGCTAACACTCGTTCTTCTATCCAATCGACGTGAGATCTCACAATTCACTTCCTTTCGGGGCTTAGCATCCTCGTTGGACTCGTTAACCCTCTCCAATCGATGTGGGATCTCACAATACACCTCCCTTCGGGGCTTATCATCCTCGCTGGCACACCGCTTGGTAACTAGTTCCGATACCATTTGTAATGGTTCAAGCCCACTGCTAACAAATACTGTCTTCTTCGGCTTGTTAGCCTCACAATTTTAAAATATGTTCGTTAGGGCTCGTTAACCTCACAGTTTTAAAATGCGCTATTAGGAGGTTTTTACACTCTTGTAAAGAATGATTCATTCCGATCTCCAACTAATGTGGGATCTCACAAGTACTATGCAGATAGGTATAGGCCTATTAGGGAAGTGCGTCGAAGGATTGGAGCTACACAACTTTGGGTGAGTATATGGTCTTGTGGGAAGGGTTTTGTAGCTAATCTTCTATAGAAGACGAGCAGACTACCACACACCATACTATCCCCATTAGAGAGAGAGAGTTCTACGAGGTAGCACCTTGACTGAGGACACTGGCTTCACATTGCATAGACAAAGCAAGCTACCTAAGTCTAAAAATAGAAAAGTAAGTTGAGCTTAGAGATTAGATTTGTCACCTGGAAGACATGTGTGCCAAAAATTAGTGAACCACCTCCTTCATGCCCAAAGTGGATCTGTGAGCAGCCAAAGTATTGTTCGAAATGTAATGACCCGAAATTTTCTACTTAATTTAAGGTCGCTACTGTATACGTACCATAAACATTGAATGCGGAAGACTTCATTTAAATTTCATAAAACATAACCTTTAACTTAAAACACAGTCATGGACTTACGTGTTTCAAAAACATCTTTAAAACGACACAACAAAAGACCCAAAATAAAATAAATAAGCGTTTAAGTTTAAAACATCATATTCTAGCCTAAGTCTAAGAAAATAAATACCACTATCCTATACATATGCCATGATCTCGAGTTACGATGTCGTCGTCAGCCGTACAGGAATGTCTTGCCTTAACCTGAAAAATGTAGTAGCACAAAGCTTGAGTATTTAAAGAAATACTCAGTAAGTCATCCCACTATTGGGGTTAAATGCAACAATCACATGCAATGAAATGATGGGACCTATCTTTCGTTTCGTTTCGTTTCGTTTTCCCTACGGTGCTGTCCTAACGGGTAATAGTGGACGTGTACCATATACTCTACACACAGCTCATATGTGCGAGTATGGGCTCACCAGCTAATTCACACACCGCTGGGCCACTATCATTATCCAGTAGGCATACTCTGGGAGCCCCTTATGTTGAGACTCGTTAAAACTAGTAACCATCACGACAACGCTATGCAACGCATTACGATCGTTATCCTGCCATTTGATGTATGCGTCCGTACCCTTGTGATGGGATAGGGGTATCCCCCAGATGAATGAACACACATAATGCCTAAGGTCCCCACTACTTCTACATTTATTATTAATGAACATAACCCCCCTGTCACGTTCCATGCTTTATGTCCTTCTCATTTTCAATTTACATTTCGTACATATTCCTATTAGGGTTATGGTTCCAGACAGTTTACCATGTTTCATGTCATACAATTCATGTTGTTTACATTCAAACATTCCATACAATCATGCCATAACCATTCAAGAACAACATATCGTTACATGCATTACACATCACATCAGACTAAACAACATACATAACATACGTTCACGTTCACATGACTATGTACTTAAGCACAATAATCTAGCATACAATGTATCATATCATAAACAAGTCATAACGTAAACACTTCATAGTCATATCGTTCTCTAACTTACCATAGCTTTAACGTTCTTATACCTATCACAGACATATCATTACGTAACGTACCTTAGTCATATCATCACAAGAACGTATCCTAACGCTATCGTTCTATCAATCTATCACAAACTTATCCCTTTCTACCCATAACCTAACCGTATTCTTTCATCAATCTCTCCTATCCATAGCACTTCGGTGTGTAACCTAAACTTAACGTTTCATGAACGTATCTTACTCCTATCGTTACATTTCGTTTTGTGCATTCTTCTCGTATCCTATCTCAAACATATCATTGAGCACATCATACTATAATTATTATCATACAATCTACATATTATAACATAACATAACATATAGGAAGCATATCGATCCACAGACAATTCACACATATCAATATATATGACACATGTCAACATCAAATATAACCATGTCGATAGTAAGGTCACTTACCTGGCTCGCTTAAGTCGTTACAAATATATCTTTAATGAAAGTTCGATTCCGTCCTTTGAAATTCGAGTCAACCTATATGAGCTCATGACATCAATTTTAAGTTTGAACTCTATAAAATTATTTCCCTAATTACCTTGGCCATCTGTAAAAATTATTTCTTGTTTTATTGTTAAATAATGTTCAACAAATCTTTCCTCAATCTCCCTCTCTCTCTAATTATTTTCAATATGTAAGTAGGTTTTCAATTGTGTAAACAGATATTACTACCCAATTTTAAGTGCATTGTTTGGCTACGATCTTTTAGTTTTTTTTATTTGTTTATTTATTTTGGGCTATTACACGAAACCTTGAGCACTTTAGATGCTTAGACAGTAGTAAAGAGTATGTCAAGACTTCCAAGTGCTCAAAGTAAAGTTCGTAGTGCCTAGTAGGTCAAGAGTATGTCAAGACTTCCAAGTGCTCAGAGTAAAGTCCGTAGTGCCTAGTAGGTCAAGGATGCGATGAGAACTTACAAGTAGATGCTTAGACAGTAGTAAAGAGTATGTCCAGACTTCCAAGAGCTCATAGTAAAGCCCGTGAGTACCTAATAGGTCAAGGATGTGATGAGAACCTACAAGTAGATTGTTTACTGAGTATTTTTATAATAACTCATGTTCAGGATTCTGATGGTTCAGGATTTAGAATTCAGAAATTTACCTAAGGATTTAGAATTCAGAAATCTACCTACTCCTCGCTTCTTAAAAGTGAAGGCTATCTCCGCAAGCCAACATGAGTTCTTTTAGCATGCTTTGTTCTCACTCACATGCATCTTAGAAAAATTCCTAAGAGGTCACCCAACATAGGATTGCTCCAAGTAAAACACACTTAGTCATGAAGTTCCTATAGTTGAGCCACCAAAAAGGAAGGTGCACCGTGTTGATATAAATATTACTCACTTTCTTTAAACATTTCTTAATTATCCTATATAAGTGAATTTAGAACGATGAATTTCAAATTCAATATCAACTCAACTTGATTTTGAGCCCGCAAATCTCTCCTTTACTAGATTCATTGCAACTTTTATAATCATCTCTCTCCAATTTTTCGTCTTTCTCCTTCTCCTTCTTCGAGGTGGTCACACACCACTCGCTCTAGTACACCTCCACTCGG